ATCTCCCCCTTGATTCCCTACTGCGTCATCAATTTGAGCTATACCCGGGACACTAACGATGCGAGCAGCCGAAGCATAAGCAACGATGAAGAGGCACGTTTTGTGGCAAAGCTGCTCATTGAGATGGACAAGTTGATGCCCGCCAAACACTTTAGCTATGGACTAATTACTCCTTATAGCAATCATTGCTATACGCTTAGTCAGGTGATACCTGGCCATATGAAGATTATACCGCAGACCGTAGATGCGTATCAGGGCCAGGAACGGGATGTGGTCATCCTATCGAATGCACGCACGCGCGGCGTCGGCTTCCTTACCAACTACCAGAGACTTAATGTGGCCATTACTAGACCGCAACGCTGCCTAGTTATCTGTGGTAATTTTGATGATCTGCAGGTAAGGATTAGTAACATAAACTTGATGGTAATTGGCTATAACTTGTCTGCTTTCACAGTCTGTAAAGATATGGCGTCATTTGCTGGACGATGCGCGCAAACGTGGAGTATACTTTGATCTGAAGCGTAGCGATGTTGAGGACTTGCCTCGATCTCTAATAAGCAAAATGCTAGTGAAGCCAATCGAAATTGTTGATGACACTGCGCCGCCGTCCAAATGTTAGCAATTTTAATTTGCTATTGCCATAAGTTAACCACCAAAGTGCCAAAGCATATTTATACAATTAGAAACATATGTATCCATTAACTTATAGATAAGTTGCCCCTTTTCTAACAGCTTCTTCACCCTGAGACAGGATTTGTTATTCGTTACACAAATAGTTTATTTATATTTTGTTTTTATTAATATTAATTTGTTTTTGTAACATCAATAGAGACTTGGCTTATATCTAAAACAGTTGCTCAACTCTACTTTGGATTGAATGAGTCAACGGAATTTCTCGTTTAAATGATATTTCATTTCCGAAAGGAACTAAGTATATTTTTATATAAATAAATATGTGTATGCACATAATTATATATATAAATATATACATATACATATATGCACAAATCTGGATATATGAAATTTATGTTCTGATCACTGGAAAATAAAACAATATTTGACTAATATTATTGCACTAGAAAGAATAAGCATAACATAAATTGAAAGTCTTTAGATACTTGATCGTACGTATATTGTTTAGTTAACAAACTCAAATGCTCATCCAAAAATTATGTTTTAAGTTAAAATATTTGCTAAAGAACATTTCACAATCTAAACTAGGCGCGTCTCTCTGGCATGACTAATCGCGGCTCGGAGGCGTAGATCTTTTTCAATTAATAGTAAGTAAAGTAGCACACATACATGTATGTATATACACTAGATATACGTGTATATATATATATATTGTAAATTCACACACAGACATACAAACATTAAATTCATCATCGTTCTAATTGTTGTTGCTTTGCCTTTCAAGGGCTTCCACAAGCATTTTTTTTCCAGTTTTTAATTCGATTTGGTAAAAGGTCAATCTCATAACGCGATCGTAGGGCTCGTTAAAATTAATGGAATCGCTTAACAAATCACCGGTAAACGGATTGTAATTGCACTATATAATGCCATTATCATAATTGTAATCGTAAGTGAAATAACTTAAAATTGTAATAACAACAAAAATCTAAACTATAACTAAAAACATAACAAAAATTATGTTAAAAAAATTATAACTATTCATATAGTGTTCGATTCAATTGAATCATTTTTGGGGGCCCTTACAACATCTGTATGGCGCTTGCCATATTTTCATATACAGATATAAATATGTATATATATATAGATATATATAAATTTCTTTTTATAATGAATATATATATATGTATATATATACGTAGAGACGTACGACTAAAGCAAACAGTTGTTGTTGTCTAATATTTTAATTAAGCATGTCGCCAAGTGAGTCCTTTAGCGATTGATAAATTTGGTATTGTTGATCCGGTTTTAAATTATAAATCTGCAAAAGATGTGTTATTTAAGTTATGGCCATATATATGTATCTTTAAACGTGTAACAAACCTGCGTCAAGAGTTTTGACGGCGATGGAGTTCTAATGAAACTTGAGATATAAACGTTGACAAAGGTGGCCATCAAAAACTGACAGTCGAAGCGATCCATAATGCCGCCATGGCCAGGAATCATGTCACCAAAGTCCTTAACACACAAACATATTTTAAAAAACAAATGCGCTGAAAACAAATGTTGACTCACCTTAATTTTAAATGCGCGTTTGAAGCCAGAGGCAAAGAAGCCGCCAAAGGGTCCAATTATGGAGCTGAACATGCTCAGCGAGATTGAGTGCCATATGAATGGATAAATATTCAATGTTTTGCCAAGACCAAACTGAAATTGCAAATGATTAGTACACAAATCAATACTCATTAGGGAAGCCATATTGGAGGTGTGTGTGTGTGTGCGCGCGTATTTGCGAGGGTGTCTTACCAATTTCAGGCTGTACTCCTGTGGCGTGAACAAATAGCTTGGCACACAGGACATTGTCATTCGACCCAGTTCCTCGGAATATTGGATGGGGCAGATAAAGTATTGGTAGTTGCACAAAATATATGAGAATAGTATGCCAAAGAGAACGGTGGCAAACCCACCACCGATAAAGCCCTCCCAGGTCTTTTTGGGGCTCAGCTTGATGAGAGGCGTGCGTCCAAAGAAGAAACCAAAAACATATGCCATGACATCATTGCAAACAATCATCGAAACGGGCACTATAAACCAAATAAGCCCCTCGAATATATTCTGTATAATCAGATAGCTCTGTGTGACGACAATTAGCAGCGAGACGTGCGTCCAGGCAAATAGGCTGAACTGCTTGATATAATATTTCTTCACCAGCGAGAGCACGAACCAAACAAAGCCAACGATATACAGTGCGAACGATAGAAAACGATGATAGGTGACTAAGAACTTCAGGTATTCCTGCATAACAAAGAAAATAAACATATAACTTGATAATCGCAAATAATAAGAAGCGCAGCAGCACTTACCACACGGTTGATGACTACGCCAAAGTAGTCAACTAGATGTTCGCCATAGAAGAAATAGTTGGAGGTAAGCAAGAAGTACCAGGACAGACTGCGAAACCAGGGCAGGCCGTGTATGCGATACACTTGATAGCCAATTGAAATAATCTCCTGAAAGCACTTCACCTGCACGAGCAGCGTCTATAAATGTGGGTAAGTGGTTAATTGTGTGTCAAGCTTGTGAGCCCTTCCATTCGCTAACGAACCGTAATCATCAAGGCCAAGGGGCCGCCGTAGATGATTAATGCAAATCCACAAATCATAATCCATGTGAATATGCCGCGAATGACCCAGTTCTTCCATCTAAAAAAAACAGCATAAAATAAATATAAATAAATAAACCGAATGCATACGAATACAATTTACACTGTGCTACAACGTTCGTATAAATTTAATGACGAGCTTCACAAGTGTGTTAAACTATTTGCTCATTTTTTATGGTCTTGACCTAACTTAACTTCTAAAAGTTATAAAGCCGAACAATTTGTAGTTTCTAATTCTATTTTTGTAAGTTTGCGTTGTGTTTGTGCGCCGCATGCAAACAGCTGTATTGGAATATTTTTGGAATTTGAAACGAATCAATTTTTGCACATACCGATCGGGCAAATCCTTGAGAGCCGAGTCCAATAGCTCTGGCGTTTTGTCGGTGCCTTGGGGTAAATTCTTGGCCAGCTCCTCAACGAACTTCTCCTCTGGTATTTTCTCCTCCTCCGAATCGACCTGCAAGCAACATTTTATCAAATAAACCAAATGCCACTCAATCATCAAAGGCGATAAACAAACATTAAGAAATACAAAAAATTAAATATGTGCCAATTCAAAGTCCAATGCCGTCTGCTGCTATACGGCGCGCAGTATAAACGGCCGACAAGATACGATACATTTCGCTAATTTATCCAAGTTTCGCGCTGTTTGCTTGTGGTTGGTTGTTTGGGGTGGCGTGTTGAATCGGGTTGCCAAATATTGGCGGGGTCTGATAAGAAAGTCGCAAATGGGAATTATTTTTGGCTGGAGACACTGGGGTCTTATCATTGCCATTAAGACGGGGGTGGGGCGCGTCCTCAAAGCAGCAGCATCTTGTTAAGCAGGCTGAGGTAATGCTGGCTGGACGGTTGGGTAGTTCCTTGGTACGCTTCCGTAATGGTCGCCTAATTGGATTTGTTTCCCACAAGCCGGGGTCTTATTATTGTCACGATTGTATGTATGCATGTGCATGTGTGTGTATTTGTGTATGCTGTACATTTGTTATTGGTATTTCTCTCTAGCGCTCTCACTCGCTCTCCGTGTGGCTCTCTGGTGGGCGCTCTTTTACCACCTGCTTGTGCGTCAGAGAATAACAAAAACACTGCACACTGTATGGAAGGCACACGTACAACTATACGTGTATAGTAGATATCTTGTTGTGTTGGTATACATACAATTCGCTTCTTTTTTGCGCTTCAATGAATTATGAAAACTTTGGAGACGATGCACGAGAGTGCAGCTATATATGTGTATCTATAATTTCGGTTTATTTCCAGTCTTATTGGCCTGGATAACTTACATGATCAGAAGAATCAGCTGCGCTGCTTGCGGCTGCGGCAGCAGCAGCATCGTCAGCCTCGTTTTCTGCCTTTCTGCGTCGCACTTCGGCCATGACTATTACAGCAAGAACTACAATTTATTTGAATACCAAGTGCTTTTTTTTTTTTTAAATTGCAGTTGACGCGCAATTGTCGTGCTGCATAAACAAGCACTTAAAATATAAAACGTCCGTTTTCTGCTTCTACACAACACACACACAAGTTACAACTATAATCAATTAAAGTGGTGTGACCGGGTGTAGAAATGCTTGAAATCTGATATTTTATCAACAGCTGTATCGATAGAATAGAAATTCGATAACAGCTTGGCTGCGATAGTAATTCGCGTTTTGCAACACTGTTTTTAACAAATGTACGTGTGTTTGTGTGACTGCCGGCGTCATTTGCGAATTATATTATTTTGCATAGCGTTAAGTGAGAAAGAATTAAATAAAATATAAACAATGGCTGCAGCAATTGACGGCGTTCTGCCCGTAACGTTACAAGAATTGGTTAAGAAATCCAAAGTATTGGTTGTGGGCGCAGGTGGCATTGGCTGTGAAGTGCTCAAAAATCTTGTGCTTAGCGGCTTTACTGAAATCGAAATTGTAAGTTGTTTTTCGAGTTTCAATTCCTCATTCACTAATTCATTATTGTTTCTTATACAGATCGATTTGGACACCATTGACCTGAGTAACCTGAACCGGCAGTTCCTCTTCCATCGCGAGCATGTGGGCAAGTCAAAAGCACGCGTTGCCCGTGAAAGCGCCCTCAGCTTTAATCCCGATGCGAACATAACAGCCTATCATGACAGCGTTACGTCGTAAGGAAATGGTTTATTAATCGTATACCATTATCTAATCCCTTCTTTTAATTTGCAGCACTGACTACGGCGTTAATTTCTTCAAGAAATTCGACGTGGTGCTCAGCGCCTTGGACAACAGAGCGGCGCGAAATCATGTGAATCGCATGTGTCTGAATGCAGATGTGCCGCTCATTGAGAGCGGCACCTCCGGCTACAATGGACAGGTTGAGCTGATCAAGCGCGGCCTAACCCAGTGCTACGAATGCACACCCAAGGAAAAGCAACGAAGCTTTCCCGGCTGTACCATACGCAACACACCCTCAGAGCCTATTCACTGCATTGTCTGGGCCAAGCATCTGTTCAAGTAAGCGTGGTCTACTCTCTTTATTAAATTCAATATTATTTACACTTGTTAAATAGTCAGCTGTTTGGCGAATCGGTTGAGGATGAGGACATTTCCCCCGATGCTGCTGATCCGGAGGCACAGGAAGCCGCAGCTGAAGTTAAGGATGCAGACGCCGCCGGAGATGCTGCAGACGTGAACGAGAATAAGAAGGAGACAGACTCTCCTCCCAACGCCAATGGCAATGTGGTGCGCATCAATACACGACAATGGGCCAAGGATTGCAATTACGATGCGGCCAAATTGTTTAACAAGTTCTTTAACGAGGACATCAACTACTTGCTGCGCATGTCGAATCTTTGGAAGTCGCGCAAGGCACCCGTGCCTGTGCAGTGGGATACACTGCTGCCCGACGGTGTCAGCTCTGATGCGCAGGAGCTTGCGCGCCAGCATCACAAGATTTGGACCGTGGAGGAATGCGCCCATGTCTTTGCCAACGCGCTCAAAGAGCTAAGCGCTGCCTTTCTTAAACTGGAGGGCAATGACACATTAGTGTGGGATAAGGATGATCAGCCGGCCATGGACTTTGTGGCCGCCTGTGCCAATGTTCGATCCCACATCTTTGAGATCGAGCGCAAGTCACGGTTTGAGATCAAATCCATGGCTGGCAATATAATTCCTGCCATTGCCACCACCAATGCAATAACGGCCGGCATCTCAGTGCTTCGCGCTTTCAGCGTGCTGCAGGCCAAATGGGAGCAGTGCAAGGCGGTCTACGCCCGACTGCGTCTCAATGGACGCAATCAATTTCTGGTGCCGGATGCATTTTTCCCGGAGCCCAATCCGAATTGTTATGTGTGCGCTAGTGATCCAGCCATCACTTTGCGCATTGATACTAAACGTGTCCAAATTAAAGCATTCCGTGATGAGGTGCTCATCAACACTTTGAACATGGTCAATCCAGACGTGACACTGGAGTCCACTGGCTCCATTGTCATATCCTCGGAGGAGGGAGAAACCGAATGCAATGAGCAAAAGTTGCTAAGCGACATGAACATCGTGGATGGCGTTATTCTCAAATGCGACGACTTCTTCCAGAGTTATGAGCTGAGCATTATTATAGCGCACTTTGATGCCGATCGAGAGGATGTCCTGTTTGAGGTGATTGCCGACAAAAATCAACTCCAACCGAAGGAGGAGCCTAAAGAGACGGAGGCCGAGACGGAGCCCAGCTCTCGAAAGCGCGCAGCTAATGGGGATGATGCAACCGACGATGGTCCCTCCACCTCAAAACGCAGCCGACCAACGGAAGTCGAGGACGACGACGACGATGATGATTGCCTGGTAGTTGAAGAGGATGACGATGATGACGTTGAAGAGGTTGTTACGGAGGCAACAGACAAACTTACCGAAGTTAGCCTACAGAAAACGGCAGCCAAACGAAAGCCCAGCAAAGTATTGGATGATGATGAGGATATTACCGAAATTTTAGATTCTTCGGACGAGGAGGATGCGGGTCCAACTAAACGCAAACGCACAAAACTGGAGGAGACAAAAGCAGGCGAGGTAATTAGTATCGACTAATATTGCATTCGTTTAACAATTCTATGCAATTCTCACAAATGAAATAAACAAATGAATTTATTAAAAAACGTATGTTTTTTACGCATCAAGTTAGCATCGGTTACCCGTTATTTCAAACTTGGTTCCGGAACCGGAATCATACATTTACTTATGAATTTTGTTTTTAAGCACATATTCAAATCAATTTTTAATTGAGGATTCTAAAAACTAAATTCTTTTAAATCTCAGGTTTTAATATGGCAAAATATTTGGTTTAAAAGGTTTGTTTTTACCTTTCCTTTGATATTATAATTAGGGACTCAAACCGCGTATGCAAGACTAAATTTTAAAATTTCTCCTAGCCAACCATAAACGTTTGTTTGGTTCAAATTGACTGAAACTTTTTTGAGATATATGGAAATTAATTTGAAACCAACCGCATAAGGTTCATTCAAAAGATCTATCGAACTGCCAGCTCCTACGCAACTTGAACCACTGCTCGGATTCAGTGTTGAACAATTTCATACAGCATTGGGCGGGAATCAAATCAATTTGAAAAAGCGAACATATTCGGTTTCCTTTGACATATTAAGACAAATACAAATTTGTTGTAAGCTGTCCAATAATTGTTACTATGCTGACAGTCAAGTCATGGGCGTTTACGTGCTTAAGTATATAAATAAATGAATATATTCTGTATGATTCCGGTTCCGGAACCAAGTTCGAATAATCGACGCTAAGTGACCTATGATAACGTGACGCACGTCTCTAGCAGAAACTCTGCGATATCGTTTTATCGTTTGCACGACATACGAGTTGGCAGTGCGCGCAGTTTATTCGGTTAATTAAGATCCAAAGTGAATTAATGCAGTAAATTTTAAAGTTTTCAATATATATACATATATTTATATCGATTTAAAAAAGTCGAGATACTAGGTAACAAACTGCAAGCCGTTTTTGGTCTTTGCGGCCGCTGAGTATTTTATTCAGCGTGTATGTATGTGTGTGCCTCGGTTTTGTGTGTGTGTGTGTGGATAAAAACGCGTACGCAAAAATTTAATTTTGCCAATTTGGCAAAAAACGTACAAAAGAGCAGAGCGTGAAATTTGAGACTTTGTATGTACAACACCAAAGCGAAGGCAAATGAAATATAATTAATGCAATTGAATACACAACTAAATGCAAATAGAGAAAGAAAAAATAAAAGAAAGTTCCAGCATCGTCCTGCCTCTGCTGCCTGCACCCTCTGCTGCTGCTTCTGCTGCTGCTGGCAGCAAACGTGCGTGGGGAGTTGTCAATTTTCAAGGCTTCAGCCACTTCCGGGCGAGCCGCAGCCTTTTTTAACACAAAAGCGAGAAAAAAAATCAATGATTCACACGTATTCGCCGCTGCCCAGATGGCAGCAGAGCAGTGTGAAATTGTTTAAAAAATTAGTGAAAGTGCGCTCTTTCTCGCTCGGCAATGACTTCATTTTCATGGCAACGACTTGGTGCGGGCTTCGCAGCTGACTCGACGCTGTCTGGGGCTTGGGGGAAATCGCCACAGTTTTAATGAATTTATGCTTGGTTGGGTCTTTTTTTTTTTATATATTTTGTTTACTTCAGAATAAATGGCTTTTAAAATACATTCATACACATACGTAGCTGTGTATATTATGTGAATAAGCAACAAAAATTTCAATTTCTTTATTTATAGACATTATAGAAAGTGCGAAGCGACGCCACGCCACGCCCCGCCTCGCTCCGCATCAGCACGGCTCACCTCACCACATTTAGTTCAGTTCAGTTTCAGCTAGCAAACGTTACCGAGCCCGAAATCAAAATGTTTCAGCCATAGGAACAGACGGCCGTTCGAATATATTATCGAAACTGAAACGTTTGCCGGGCATTCCTAGGATCAGAAACAGAAATAAATCAATAAAGGGGACAACACACTCACACAGCATTTGAGAAGAGCGTCGCCAACAGCAAGTAATACTTGAAACAACGTTAAGACGAGTCTGGAGAATGGTTAAGAAGCAAGTCGGTTTAGAAAACAGCGCGTCCTTAGTAGTAAGTCAGCAGTCTGAGCAGCAGCCGGATCAGCAGCAGAAGCAACAACAACAACAGCAGCACCAGCACCACCATCAGCAGCATCATCATCATCATCAACATCAAGGTCAACCCGAGCAAGCGCAACGCATCGACATAGACATCGACTTGACGCCGGAGGAGCCGAAGAACGATTACAACTACGCTCGGCAGGCAAATGCCATCTACGCGCCACTGAGGTCAGCCAATAGCACAAGTCATGAGAGTGAATTGCCGCCGCATAAGCTGCAAATGCAGCATGCGCATCTTGCCACAACGCCCTACAATCTCAACACTGTGTCGCCACAGAACACTGTGTCAATGGCAGTGGCCGTCTCGAGCGTGCCGCTGTCCATCATGCCCACTGAGATACCTGCCGAGGACGAGGAGCGGCTCGAGCGCATCTTCAATCAATTGGACCGCGACGGCGATGGCAAAATCGACATACACGATTTGTCCGCGGCCCTGCACGAGTTCGGCATGTCCAGTGTCTACGCGGTGGTGAGTGAGGGCCCCATTTTGTGGGTGTCCATCTATCTATTCAATCGAGAGTTGCTCCTCAAACGGGGTTTGCGTCACATAATTTGCATAAATTATTCACTGACAAAGCAAAACACATTTTTGAATAAGCCAAATGTAAATTTTTCTGTTGTCTGCCACAACAATCTGATCTGTGCACACCTCGTTGTCTGTCTGGCTGTCAAAAGACAAGATATGTGATGTGCATAAACGTGTACTTAGATTTTTGCATAATTTGCCTTTGGGTGGCAATTTTTATGGTTTCAGCTGCAAGAAATATGCATAACGCCTCACATGATCACACATTGTTTAATTCTATTGATTTTGGCAAACGGGCTGCTGTTATTTTTGACAATTGAGGGGCCAAGGCTAAGGTTGGGCAATGCAACTGCCAACAAACTGGGTCACACGTGTAGCATTTGGCTCGGCCCTATGAATTTATTGTTAATATGATTTGTTTAATTTAACACAGAAATTCCTGCAGCAGTCGGACAAGAATCAAAGTGGCAACGTGGGATTCGCCGAGTTTCTGCACTATGTGCGAGAGCATGAGAAGAATTTGTGCCTGCAGTTCTCGCACTTGGACAAAAATCGGGATGGTAAGTTGGCTTGGCTATATACACATGTGTGCATACAACAATGCTTGTCGAATTGCAGGAAAAGTGGACCTGGAGGAGTTAATATCTGCATTCAAGGATTTGGGCCTGGAAATTGACATCGATGAGGCTAGAAAACTGCTTAGCAGGTTATTGCTTTTGTTTCGAAAACCGTTTGAAATGAATGTTAATGGTTCTTTTCTTAAACATAATCCCCCTACCAGAATGGACAAGGATGGCAGCCTAAACATAAGCTTTAATGAGTGGCGCGACTTTATGCTTCTAGCGCCCTCAACGGACATTCATGATCTTATCAAATTTTGGCGGCACTCTACTGTAAGTCGAGGCAATCGGCCGTCTCTTAGTTTGTATTTGTAGCCGCTAGTAATTGAATAGTGTAAGCATTTTATCGCTTTATATGGATTTGTTTTGGCTTTGGATATAGGAAAAGTATGCACAGGCAGCTGCGCATGTTTATACTGTAAGCGAAACCTGTGCAAACTTGGCTCAATTTCCATTTACAGCCAATACCAATTTGTACTTTGCTGCGCTCGTTTGTCTAGACATTTATTTAGCTGTTTATTTTTATCGTGTCGCATTTGAAACTAATCGTTAAACCTTTTTACCCTCCTCGTTTCGTTAATATGCGCCCATCAAACAAACAAACCAAAAAAAAAAAACAACATTCTTCCTATATACTTAACATACCTGTGTACTATATTGCTTAAAAATGTAGTTCCAGTCCTGACTAGCTGAGGAAGACTTGAAGGTACATATCGTCAAAGTTATCTAATTACAATAATCATAAAAAACAAAAATATTTCTATAGTCGTATCTAGTAGTTAAAGGGCACACACATGTATATCCTCATTCCCATGCTCATACACACACACACACACCTCACCTTATCAGCAACACTTGACATTCAAAATTTAGGAATGGCATTTCCCCATCGCCCAAGCCTGACCCAATAAACACTTCTACTTTTGGGGGCCAGTACGCTTAAGAGCAAAAAGCTTTGCAGCTTCATATCAGACTCTCTTATTGCCAGTTACACTCTCTCGCTCTCGCACTCACTCTCCCTCGCTCTCTCGCTCTCTTTATTTTGCTGACGTAAGTCGGCGGGGTATTTCATCACGGTTTGAATTGATGCTTTTGACTAGCTTTTAATGATAATGTCTGGGCTGGACTGTCAGAGGCAGTCAACTGATCTTTTATCATGCGCTTATCAGTCGAATTTTACTTTCTAATGATGCGCTGGCCCTGGCTGTTGCGCTTGTTTATGAGTCGAATGGATCTATTTCAATGGCTTTGTTGTCTGCATAATCATTTTGTTTACATATATTCTGTTGTTTGTATAGCTGGGTATTTTATTTCTGCTCTGTTTTTTCTGTTTGTTTTTGCTCTTGATAATATATAAATTATTTAATGCAATTGGTTATGATTTTCCATTTGCTAAGCTGATTTCATTCCGCCTTTACATTTCGCTTGAACGGGTTTTTCTTCCATATACCAGATTTATGTAAGTACATAAAACGTGGAGCGTCGAAGATAACCCCCCAAAGTCTGTTTATTCCGACAACGCGCTGCAGTTTGTTGCCCGCGGCTTAATGATAATTCTTAAGGTCAACCAGTTCGAGCTGTCTGCCCTGGTACCTGTCTGGCAACTGACAATGGGAACTCAGCGATAGCGGGCCGGTTCTTTAGTTGCTACGCAGACAACTTGCTCGATTTAATGACATGCCAGAATTTGGCTAGTCTAGACGTTAACATTTAACAGAAAGTTAAGCGAATCAACCTAACTGTTGCTAGCTCACTTGTGATGTTGAGATTTTAAGCTTCAGATACTCATTGCAACTGCAAGTCAATTGAGGGTATTCGTTTGTCAGCATATTA